ACGGACCTCCTGTTCGGGGCGACGATAAGCTTCAGCTGTGACATGGGGTAAGCTCGCGCTGACCCAGGCTCCTGGTGAGTCGACGGAGCTGAGGCTGGGAGACAGCGCCTGCGGGACACTCGGAGGCTTTTAATATCTGGGGGCTGTTACCTTGGCAAGCACAGGCACGGCGGGAGGTGTTCGGAGTGGGGAGCCGTGGGGGTCAGGCTCTCTCCTGCTCTTGCTGTTAACACAGATTATCGCCTGGGCACGAGAGTGTCGTCTTTGCAGATTGCTTTTCAGCTGCTTTGCAAAGAATTTTGTTCCTTTCCTGTTGGTGCTGGTTAGTAATTCAGCGTTCACTGTTGTGCGATGGGTCCGGCTGTGCATGTCTTAGCTAAGGGGTCTCGGGAAAAGAGGGCTGAGGTGGCCTGGGGATGCCGGGAGCGGGGCGAGCGGGAAAGCGAGCGGTTAGGGTATGTCAGTGACACCTAGCTCTGCTCAGAAAATAAGTCGCTATTTGGATCTACCACGGCACAGCGCAGGGCTGAACAGACTCAGGGTGGGGATGCCGTCTTGCTCGCGCTCCTGTGAGCTTTTATCCACCTGCTGCAAGTATTAAATTTCCTCTAACTGCATCATATATTGCATTTCTTTGGGTATTGAGAAAACTGTATTTTATAGGAAGGCTAGCTGCCTTTCCCCTAGGGTTCAGCTCCTCCAGAGAATACCACTAGAAACGGTGCAACTTTCTGAATTTCCCAAGTTTTTTTCACTTTTTTCAAAGACATTCAACCTTCTCTTTTCTTAGGTACCGATTAGTTGGGAAGCTGTCTGTACAATGTATACTTAGAGGCAATGAAGTTACTTGGGATAGCATTCCACGCTGTGACAGTAAGGAGATCTTAAATGTTTTGTGTACATCTCTTCGTCGAAGATATTACAATATAGCTGGTAGTTTGGGGAACGGCAGGTGGATACTCTCTTCTTGGCACCTAATACAAATTATATTAGCCTTTAATGAGACTGACTCCTTACCTCTCCCCCAAACAAGCATTCTCGGTGGAGCTGGGAATGAAAATGAAATACCAAGGAGGATCTGTGGATGTTGGCAGCAGCTCTGTAGTCAGATCGGTGAGAAAAGCAGCTCCCCAGGCTGTTTGTTGGTATTGCCCAGCACAGGCACACAGCAAGATTTCTGTCGGGCTGGTGCGGACGTTGCATCGCTCGGGTTGTGTTTTCTATCAGGCAACCATTGCTGAATGGTTTATCAAGAGCTGGGCTTGACCAGGACTGGGATGCCTTCAGAAATGACTGCACATCCAACATCTCAATTTTCAAAGGGGAAATAAATTCCAAGAGTTGCGTTGGTGCTATTTGGGCTTTTTTTAGCATCCTGTGGGATGGGCCTGCCCCTCGGCTGCTGATAGTTTAGATGGTTTGCTGCTATAGCAGGTATTCTGGCCTCGTCCTCATTAGCACAAGGAAGGTAGGAAGCTGTTTCCCTGTTTTTTCTTTGGCTTTTATTATTTTTTTATTTGGGTTGTTTTTTTTTTTTGGGGGGGGGGGTGTTTGCTGTTGTTTGTTTGTTTGTTTTTTTAAGTAGTTAGACTTGAGTTTCATATTCGATAGAAACGTTCTTGCATTTTCTTGCTGTTGCTTTCCCACGCAGTTATTCACTGTTTACCACCTCCTGAGATCATGAACGGGCAGTTCAGCAACAGGGACAGCGAATTCACCGTTGGCATGGCTGTAACTTACTACTGTAAGGAAGGTTTTACTCTTATTGGAAATAACATGATTGACTGTACGACAGATGATAACATCATGGGAAAATGGAGCAGTCCAGCCCCTGAATGCAAAGGTAAATGTTTTCTTTCTCTCCTTATTCTTTTGGCTTTGTTTCTCATCCCTCTCCCGATCTGTACTTTCCCAATGGGCTGCCAAACATGAGGAGGTTGATTTGAGTCTAAAATGATTCCCAGAAAGCTTAATGCAGTGATCTCTCAAGTTGTGGTCAGAGGCAGGGCTTGGTTTAATGGCCTCTTCAGCGCACAGAAAGCCTCCCTCTCCCTGCCCAGGGCTTCCTGCAAATGAAAAATGAAGCTCTCGCGTGTGCAGGTGCTTAATGACACCGCTGTCCATGGAGTGATTGCACCCCACTGGGGACCTGCTTCCCAGAGTGAAAGGATGGCAGTTCTCTTAGTAAGCTTCTCGTGTAATGCCTCTGGTGTCACTGCAGGGCTTTTCCTTCTTCTAATACATATTCTTATTGTCTTATCTTCACTTCCAGTGGTCAGCTGTAAAAATCCAGAAGTGAAAAATGGGAAAAGGTTGTCTGGCTTTGGCACTGTGCACGCGTATAAAAATACGGTGACCTTTCAGTGTAATCCTGGTCATTTATTGAACGGTAGTAGCCTAGTTACTTGTGAAGCAGACAGTACCTGGAAGCCGCCTCTGCCAACATGTGACCCAAGTGAGTACAAACAAATTTATTTCCTTGAGCAATAGGACTGAAGCAGGGTTAAGAGCTGTTGAGCAGATCAGCTTCCAAACCTCGTGCACTTGTAGCCATGCCCTCTCAGAGCATGCTGGCTTGGGTCCTCAGCGTGGCAGCCCAGGCCAATAATATATTTAGACCTGAAGCTATTTATTTGTGAACCGCAACGGATCCAAAAGCACACTGAAAGAAGAGATAAAACTACACGTGACAGGTTTGCTTCACCAGCTTCCAGACATGCTGGGGATGTTTGGCTTCTGAGCTCAGCTGGTCCTGCACGTTGCATTGGTGGTCAGTGAAGAAGCATCTCTGATGCAGAGATGCTACGCGATCTCCATCTTTTCTCTGGTTAAGCAAACTGTGATATATGTTGTTGTTTGCTAAATGGGTTGGATGCGAACTGTATCCCAGACACTGACAGTCAGACAGGTTAAAATGGCGGGTGCTCCAAAACATGCAGTTCGCTGTTGTTATTGCAGACCCTTTGGGTGCTCTTCTGTAGCTAACCTTGGTTTTGTCTCCAATTGTTAGTCTACTGTGGCCCTGCCCCACACTTCCCTTTCGCTGAGGGCGAAACGGCGGTGGGTGACCGCTCTCTTGCTGGAACTGAGCTGAGGTATCGGTGTAAACCGGGTTATACTGCAGCACATGGAAAATCCTCTGTTGTCACTTGTCTGAGCAATGCAACGTGGTCTGCAGACCCAGATTTCTGTATACGTGAGTATCTCTGTTCCTCTCCTGTCTTGACTGACTGTATGAGCGATTTGTACATGCTTGAGACATTACTCTGAAATTTGGGTCATGCCCATCTCTGGGTTTGAAGTAATTCCCATGCTGCTTTCTTTTCCTCTAGGACAGCAATGTGCTGCTCCCAAGATCAAGAACGGGGATGTGATTGGAGACAATTTCCTGTTTGAGGCAGTTGTGACGTTCACCTGTCATCCTGGGTGAGTGGATTGCTGCTTAAAAGGGACCGACTCGGGGGTCAGAAGACAGGGATCACAGGCAGTAACATCCACCACCTCCCTCCCTCCCTGGTTTCCCAGTGCAAGTCTCCAGTGAAACCGTGTATTATGTCTTCAGTGAGATGAGCATGTGGCAACACGCATGTGCTTGGTAATGCAGTGAACTGCTTCAGTTCGGCTCATATTAGTGCCCTTATTTAGTGGCTTTGATGTGGCCAGATCCCATTTCATAGCAGGGGCAACTTCTGGTTAACAACTTGCCTGCATGCAGCGGTGGGGAGGCGGGGGAAGAACCCTTTCTGTGTTGTCTTCTGGAAAGTACTAAACTTCTCTTTCTTTAGCTTTAAATTAAAGGAACCATCTTCTGCCAAATGTGTGGTATCAGGAAATGGAGTTGATTGGGATACAGCACCTCCATACTGTGAAAGTAAGAGGGGAAAAACCTGCACAGAGCCATTAAGATAATAGTTGGGACTGCGCTGGTGTAGCTGCCTTTGCTGGTGGGCTTGGGCTGCTCTTACTTGCGCTTCTTAATTCAATCAATTGTAAAATTCATTATTTCAATACTAACTCGTGCTGTGAGGCCTTAGGTGCAATATTCTCATACAGTTGTCTCAACAATCATTGTGGATGCCCCCTCCCTGGCAGTGTTCAAGGCCAGGTCGGATGGGGCTTTGAGCAGCCTGGTCTAGTGGAAGGTGTCCCTGCCCATGGCAGGGGGGTTGGAACCAGATGATCTTTAAGGTCCCTTCCAACCCCAACCATTCTGTGATACTATGAATTCAGAAATTATGCTGACAAAGTGGAAGGAGCAAGGGAAGAGCAGAAATTACAGAAAAAAACAGTCACAGGAGGAAAGTTTTCTTTCTCTAGTTACCAGGGAAAGACAAAGATAATTGGATGTTAGAACTTTGTCCACTTGATTTGGTGTAATGCTGAAATCAGGTGTTACGAAGTCAGTGTATCGTGTTACGTGAAGCTAGAAATGGGTGGAACATTTCTTCTAGCCTGATTAGGCACTTCTGTGGCTTATGTCATGGGGTGAGATCCTGGAGTTGGGGCTAACGGGCAGTCACTGAGGTCCAGTACCAAGCAAGAAAGCTTGACGTGTTTTCAGTTGCTGCTAGATGCATGGCGTTTGGCTGTACCTCCTTCTCCCCATACACCTCTTCACCTTTTCAGTTAGGAGAAGTACTCAGACACTCTTGCTGATGTCCCTCCTGTAGGACAGGTCCCCAGTATTCTCTGCGAAGAGCCCCCCACGATTGACAATGGGATGCACAATGGCACAAAGGGCACCAACTATGTCCAAGGCTCCACTGTAGTTTATAAATGCAAGCATGGCTTCACCCTTGCTGGAGCAGCCTCTGTTCGCTGTGAAGCAGATCATCAATACCATGGAGTCTGGAGTAAGCCTACTCCTGAATGCAGAGGTGACTATCTCCTGTGTCTGTCTTGCTGCCTCCTCTCTGTCTTCAGAATGCCTATTTTTTCCCTCCTCTGTGAATCCTCAAATCAGATAATTCTGCTAAGGAGTAAGCCTTAGATGCTTCCTGAAACAGCTTCAGTTAAAATCTAGTGCCAAAAGAGCATGGTTAGGTTGCGGCATGGACTCACATGCTAGTGGCTAGTATCCTGGTAAATACATCGGTGTTTTAACAGATAAACGTCTGTGGAGCTGGGCTGTGCAGGGGTCCCGTTCCGTGTGTTGCTGGAAGTATCTTAATGTGCATCGGCTCTGATTTGGGATACTGCATGTTGTGTAGTTTGATGAATTACTGTGCTGAATGGGTCCCGAGTTTCATGTTTTGGCTCGCTTCCTTTCCAGGTGGAGCGAACGTGATCATCGTTGGTAAGTAATACATATTCCTGAACCCCTGTACCGTGCTCTTGCCTATCTTTATATTATTGTCTCCTGCGTGTTCTGCTTGAAATAAGCTTAAAAGCCTTCCACTACAGTCTGTCGTCAGATTTGTATTGTTGTTGCTTTAAGATCATGCTGTGAAAAGGTGGAGGGAAGGTAAAGGGGACCAGGGAGGGAAAAGATAGTTGAATATGTTTGGAGTGAAGACTTCTTATTTGTCTCTTGTAGGACTCTTCCCCCTCCTCCTGGCAATGCTGGTTATGAACATCTAGATTAGGGAATGAGAACAGCAAGGTGGCACTTGTAGACGTGTTGGACTTGATCGCGCTGTGCTCTGCTTTTCCCTCCTGTGAAATTGGCCCTGAATCTGCAACCAGCTGACCTTGGATGATGAAGCCCAGATGCTCCCCGCCGCTGCTCGCGAAGCACTTGCGCATTGGCTGCAGCTGCGCGTTGTGTTGGACACAGCAGCTCATGCATGGCACTGGGCTGGGCGGCTCTTTGCCACTCAGCTGAGAACGCTGTTCAGAAATCACAGAATCATAGAATGCTTTGGGATGGAAGGGACCTCTAAAGGTCATCTAGTCCATCCCCCCTGCAATTGGCAGGGTCATCCATCAAATCAAATGCGGTTGTCCCCATGTTAAGTCACAATGATGCCAAAGACCTTCGCGCTGCAAGAGTAGACTCAAGGAAATCGTGAGCTTTGGTTACCTCCACATGTTCAGCTTTTCAGCCCCACTAAGGTCGTGTTGTGCCTCGTCCTGATCAGGATTCAGGGGTTTCTTAAGTGTCCTGAGGTGGGACATGCTCCGGCTGCCGAGAGGATTAACGGTGAATGTCTTCATGTGTGTGATATATGCTTGAAAAAAATAAGTTTGATACAAATAGGATGCATAAGTCAAGTATTATCTGTGGGTACTGAAAGCATTGAAAGTGTTCATATGAAAGCATGGTTGTAGTTATTGCTTCAAGGCAAGTCTGAGCCGTTGTGCAAATAACAATCCTTACAGATCAGTCATTTTACCGGAGAGAAAAAAATCTAAATGCCTTAATACAAAGACCTACTATTCTGACTCTTCCTGTATGTACTAAAATTAGTTTTAAACTTCAGCTGAAGGCCTCTGCCCTGGCGCTATCTCCGTATCATGTCGAGGCTTTTCTGCGAGTATCTTGTGGTAACGCCCTTCCTCTCCCTGCAGTGACTCAACGCTTCTGTAGAAGTGCTGAAGCTTTCGGTGGCTGAAAGCCCCGGGAGGAACCCAGCTGCGTGGGCATTGGGGGGCAGCGGAGCTCATCCGCAGGCAGGTGGCGTCCGGGCCAAATGCAGAACTTGCAGGTGTCTCGGCAGATGCCACCAAGCATCAGAAAGTTGCTGTGTGTGAACCTTTTCACTTTCTGCTCAAATGCCGCCTGCCTGGGGTGACTGATGGCAGGGAACGGCTGTCTGAATTTGCACTTAAAAGGCTTTTTCAGGTGGTGCTGTGCACCCTGAACCCAGCTTAGCCCCAGGGGCTGCTGTGATGCTGGGGAGGAAAAGCGGGTTTTCCGGCCCCTTGCTCCGCTGGCGGCAGGGCTGCTCCGGCCGCGCAGGGCAACTGTTGCTCTGCCGCTGCCCCCAAAGTAGGCACAGGTGCACGTAGAATCACAGAATCGTTTAGGTTGGAAAAGACCTTTAAGGTCATCAAGTCAAACTGTTAACCCAGCACTGCCAAAGCCACCCCTAACCCGTGGCCCTAAGCACCACATCCCCGGCTTTTAAATCCCTCCAGGGATGGGGACTCGATCACTTCCCCGGGCAGCCTGGGCCAGGGCCTGACTGCCCTTTCGGTGAAGAAGTTTTTCCTAATATCCAACCCAAACCTGCCCTGGCGCAGCTTGAGGCCGTTCCCTCTCATCCCATCACTTGTCCCTTGGGAGAAGAGACCGACGCTTTGTGAGGAGGGGTAGAGGTAAGGGAGGGAGCGTGCTGTCCCCAGCTGGATTCAGGCTTTGGTGGTGCCACGAGGACAGCTCAGATGATGGGACCTCACTCACCTTGTCTAAACCAAAGACACAGGCAAAAGTGTGTCTTGATTTGTTTGGCTGATAGAAAAGCCACATCGTGGTGTTGGTGTCCTTTCCTAGTTTTAACTCAGCCTTGCTAAATGCTCATTTAATAAGCTAAAGAGGTATGTAGCATCTTGTAAAATGAAGTAAAGATTTGAAGGCTTCCTGGGAATCCTATTTATAAGGGAAACAAAACTGTGGCAGGATTTAAACTAGTATTCAGCTATTGCCTGAATCCCGCTTGAGATGCTAGGACTTTTAGCTGCTGATAAAGCAAGATTTTGAGGTTTGGGGTTTTGTCTGATGCGGTGGTAAATGACCCATCTGTGAGCTTGTCATGATGTGCAGTTGGGAACAGGAAGCATTCAAAATGCGTCTACTACATACTTTTGGTTTCTGCATTTTCACCAGTGCTTTCTTGTTAACAGGAACATGCATCTAATTAGAGAGAAAACAACAAATAGCCATTTCCATCAACGCGTTAGTCTTGTTCCATATAGACCCGCAAAGTTCTCCCTTCCCATCAGAGCACTATCCTGCTCAGCTGTCACTGGGGTACCGTGAGATGCTGTTTTCGGAAGCCAGTCTTGCAGAACAGGCACTTGCCGATTGTTGGTTATTTTTATATATCTCTTACCATAAGCCAGGAGGTTGACTAGATAAACAAAACAGAAATGTAAAGCCTCGTAGCTTAGTGTTGTGTTCTGTTTTGTTATTTTAATCCCAACACAATTGGTCCTACTGCATAGTCCAGAATGGTTTTTCCAAATGATTTAACACCTGATCTGGGATCAGCTTGAAATGATCTCCCCGCAACCAAATGGAAGGAACTCTGAATGCTGTGACATAGCGTACGGGTGGGGTCACCAAAATTTACTGTTGAAGAGGGCTTATCTGCTGTGTTTGTAATTGAGTTGTACATAATTATACTTCATAATCTCAGTGTAACCAATCAAGTGCAATTCTGAAGTATAAATGTTGGATATGTAAATATTGGAAGCTCTCTTTCAATAAAAGGGATAAAAAGACTTGAGTAACGCATGTTTTGCTGCTTGTTTTAGGCTCAGAAAGATCCTCCGGTATGTGAGCTGGGGAGCTGGAGGTTGCTGCGGCTGCTCCTACATCAAAGTCCCATCTGGGGATTTTTATTCTTCCAGCCAGCGGCGAGGGATGACGCCAGCTTGGATGAATCCTAGAGGAGCCAGGGTTGGGTCAGGAGGGTTCAGGTCCTCAGCTGCAGGGCAGTGTGCGGGCTGGGCTGCACGCTGCACCTCCTGGCCTGAGCACCCACGGCCCCGAGGGACAGACGTGTCCCCAGTCGCCGCTGGTCCCACGTGTGTGGGAGGAGGGAATGCCCCGCTCTGCCCTTCCCGTAGCCGGGCAGGCAAGCTGTGCCCCTTCAGCTGGTTCATGGGAAGGGCTGCCATCACTGCCTGGGGACTTGGGGCAGAGCCTGGGCCACTTCCCCGAGCTGAGGATGCTCTCCATTGAGGGCACGGTTTGGCTAAGAGCACCTCTGTGCCTGTGCTCACCCCGCTTTCACGGATGCCCATGGGCCACGTGGTGGGTCCCAGGGGCCCATCCTCCCCTGCCAAAACTAGCAGCAGAAGCAGCGTGTGGGACCCACAGCCTCCCCGAGGGTGGTGGCTGTGCCCGCCTCGTGCTGGGGAGCCCACAGGTTCCTGTCCCACAGCCCTGGGAAGCCCCACAGCTGTGGCTCCTTCCGCATGTGGGGGGCGGTGGGGGGAACTGGGCTGCCCATATCTTCCTGCAGCCCACCGGGAGCTGTAGTCTGCGCCGGAGACGGGGAGCATGGTGCTCGCCTTCGCCCTCCGCCTCCTGGGCAGCTCCGCTTTGCTCCTGGCCGCCGCAGCTGGGGCTTCAGGTAAGGGAGACCGACAGGTCTGCACCTCTGGGGCCTTCCTCCCACGGCCCTCCTCTTCCTCATTGCTGCTCCTCTCCTCGCTGATCCTTTTGCTTTTCCCTGCGGAGGCAGCTGGGAGCCCTGTGGTGGTCCCGGGTGGACCTTGGCATGCCAGACCCTGAGCATCACAGAGCCTCTGAGCTGCTCTGCTAATGACGAAGACTCTCTGGGCTAGCACCGGGGCCAGCCCGTGCCCTTCAGCAGCGGGGGGAAAGGGAGTTACAACCTCACTACGGGAGGCTATGAGAGTCTTTCACAACCTGCCCAGCTTCCTGTAACAAGGGACTTGACCCGTGTTTTTAAACTGCCAAAGTAAAGCTGGTTATGGATATGGCATCTTACAGGAGTGAGACGAGGAGCCTGTTCCAATAATAGATTGTGTTTGAGCTCTGTCAAGTTGAAACTTGCTGTGATGTATAGAAATGCATTGGGACTGTGTTGTTTGGCATGTTTGGTCTGAAAGTCCACAGGGCACAAAAACCTGGCAGGTGGCTACCTGCCCTCTCGTTTGGGACAGGACAGCCAAAACCTACAGAAACTTGGCTCCATCACTGCAGTATGGTTTTGTTTACCCCTTCCCATCTTGTAGGCGTAGGTGCTGCAACCTGGCTGCTCCGGCAAGGTTTGAAAAGTGTTTTGGTACTGTATGGAGAAGACTTCTACCTATATACTCAATCAGGTTAATTATTCACTGGCATCTTGATGGGCCAAAGGCTGACGCTACTGCCTTAGCTGGCTGCGGTGGCTCAGTGGCAGGCTGGGAGTCAAGCATCAGTAGCTGCAAAGGGTTGGGTTATGTTTTTAAAAAAAAAAAGTTTAAAAAAAAGGATTACCACTAATTTAACACTTTGTGAAAAAGTTAAGTTGTATTTTCTTCTGTTATACTTGGTTTTCTATATGTTCAGCTGATGCACATGCATTCGGTTTGCCAGCCTTGTGGATAACTGTCATTGCTCACATGTGCTGTCTGATGCCGGAGAGCTGTGATTCTCCAGCAAACCAACCCAGAGCTGCGGGAAGGGGTGTGAAGGGCGCAGCGTAGACGGGCTGCACCTGAACAGCTCAGAGGGATGGAGCTGGGGCCCTTTACTCGGCAACCCAAAGGATATTACCAGCGAGAGGCATCTCTTTGACCTTCTTTCTACAGTCCCATACTTAGTGCAAATATTTGTCTAGTGAACAAAAAGCTGCTTCCCCACGGTTTTGGTTCTGGACATCTGCCTGCCTGCCTGCCTCTCTGCATGTCTGCCTCTCTCTCTCTCTCTCTTTCAATGCAAGCAACCCCTGGTTACGCCCGGG